CACCAAATTTAACACTTGGAAGACTCCCCAACATAGTGGCCAGGGCGGGGGAGGTCCGGTCACCCAGCTGTGTGAAAGAGAGAATACGGGGTGAGATATCTGTCTGTCTGTCTGTCTGTCTGTCTGTCTGTCTGTCCATATTTTTGTATATCTTCATGTCTGTCGAATCATCTACTTACAGTACTTATCAATTATTCTCTCTATTTACTTTTTCATTAGTTAGTCATTTGGTATTCACAATAGAGAGAGTGAGAGAAGGAAATATAGTAGTCACAACATCCCTGAGAGAGAGAGAGAGAGAGAGAGAGAGAGAGAGAGAGAGTAGCGCCAGTGGTTGTGTCTTTCATCCATGTCAGGTCATATATGCAAGGTCATTCATCACAGTCGATGGTTTGTATGGGTGATAAACAACAACTTTTAGTCACATAAACACCATGAAGGTAAGTCATTAACTAGAGTTTAGCGTTTGGGTGGGGTTAGCTAAGCCCCCAAAACTTGATTAAAGAGACCCACTTGTCACCATCATCACTAATATTGTTTACATAAGTCAGCTGTTCAGAACTCACCTGGACAAGTACTGCTACGCCCACCACTCCGTACACCTGACTGGCCGCCTGACTAAAATTTCGGTACAGCTGCGCGTTGTAACCGTAAATCTGCAGCTGTAATGGAGGAAAACGCCTGTATTAGTGACGGTAACAGCTGTAAATGTAGCTACAAAATTTTTAGGCACAGTTGTGTTGTAACTCTAAATATGCAACTGTAATGGATGCGGTAAATAAATTATTGGTGACTACAGCTTTGGTTAGATTAGGTTATATTAAGTCAAGTTAAAGTAGGTTAAGTTAGGTTAGGTTATATTAAATCAGGTTTATTTATTTACAATTTGCATTAAGTTTATCTCTATAACTACCTTTATACACAGACTATTTTAAATTATGTATATCTGTTTTTTATTCACGTTTTCATATTTCAGATTCTAAGTCAAACTTTTCAATCATTATAGACAAAAAACGCAGTGAAGAAGTAATTAATTATATTGGTATATAATCTAATGTAATCGTTTTGTAATCTTGATATAACCTCTCTGTAATCTGTGTTTAATACTCCTGTGTACTGTGTAAACCATATACTGTAAGAATCTCTATTTTAATCACTGTATATAACCCTTATATAATTCTAAGAACATTATATATATTGCTTATCTAATCCCTATGTAATTCTTTTCAAAATCCCCACATCAACATTCATTAATCCCACTGCAGTCACATTGTACTCGGCGTCACCAATATGTAATCTCTGTAATCCGTAATTATTGTGTTTATTTTATTTTACTATACCTAAGATATCAAGGGTCGTGTATACTGTATATACTATTTATTTAGGCCAAAACAGCTACCAATTTGCATCTCTTCTGAGTGAGGGATCAGGTCATCGTGTCGTGGTGAAGAAGCACCAATAGTTACTGTGTTTTGATAAGTATTATTAAGGGTTTTCAAAGGGAATCTCACTTAAACTAAATTAAGCTAAGGTAACATAATTTAACCTAACCAAACTTAATCTAACCTCACCTCACCTAACCTCACCTAACTTAATCTAACCTATTCTAACATAATCTAACCTAATTTAACCTAATCTAACTTAAATAAACCTAATACCAAGTCCAAGTCGTGTAGGTCTTTTACGTGAGGAACAATTCTACTTCTCCTCAGTAGTTGAATCATTAGAAGTAACTGGACTAACAAATGGACTCTGGTCTTGCCTGTCTCTTTAGTGAACAAATAATAGAAAAATTAATAAGTACGAATCCTATAATCAAAGGCAAACAGATTCGTGACGTCAAAGATAAATGAATTGAACAGCCAATGAGAGTGAGATAAATAAACTGGCCAGCCAATGAGAGTGAGACAAACAAACTAAACATCTAATGAGAATGAGATAAACAAACTGGGCAGCCAATCAGAATGAGATAAACAAACTGAACAGCCAATGAGTGTGAGATGAATAAACTGAATACGCAATCAGAGTGGAGGATTAAACATCAATCACACACAACACTCATCAATAGACTAATTTACGCTGTGTCCAAAAATTAAAAAAAAAAAAAAAACAGTACAAAAATATTAATTTTTTTTCCACCTGTGTTCAGGAATCCGGTACTGAATTATAGAGGAGTCTGACCTTTACCTGTTAATTAACGCTGATTACCTGGTTAATGTTTGATGTCTGAACTATGGGAGGGATGACTGACCTATCTGTTCCAATCCTTGACTTTTAGTATTAGATAAACTGACTTAATAACGTCGCTTGGTGTAAGACTGGAGTCACCTAAATGTTGTGCTAAGTGTGGGAGAGAGAGAGAGAGAGAGAGAGAGAGAGAGAGAGAGAGAGAGAGAGAGAGAGCTTCCCCTGATGCAGAAGGCAGTGTGTAATACTCACTTCCCTTGATGAAACAGACAATACTGAAGCTTTCATTTGCTGTAATGGAGATGACTGGAGTGCGGCAGCGGCCGAGTCGATAGAGCGCTCACCTCTTCTCCTTTGAGTCGTTGGTTCGCGCCCTGGGTACCCCCCCCCCCAAGCTCACTCAGCTGTGAATGAGTACCTACCTTTACAGTTTAGGATGAGAGGCTGTCGAGCGCAGTGACAATCATGATGCCAGAAAAGACTATTTGTACTCCCCCAAACGACCCGCCAGGAGTAAGAGACCCACTTTCTCTCATCTTAATGGCAGAGACACTCCCTGACCTTACTTTACCCAACCTTATCTATCTTTACCTAACCTAACCCCTCCTAACCTTACTTTACCTAACCTAACCTAACCTTACCTAACCTTACCTTACCTTACCTTATACCTAACCTAACCTTACTTTACCTAACCTTACTTTACCTAACCTAACCTTACCTTATACCTAACCTACTGAAACAGGCAACACAACAGTTGCATTTTACCATAAAAAAATGGAACTAGAAAGAGACAAAATACGCTTCTCCTCACCTCGGCCGGGAAGGCATAGTTAGAGATGGTGTGCTCGGAGCCTTGTAGGTCACGCTCCCCGAAGTGCAGACGAAGGTGATTGACGACGTAGGTGTAGGAGAGAGGTCCACCTGACAGGTTCACGGGAGGACCTGACATAGGCTTCACCCGCCACTCTAGACTGTGACCTGTATTGACCAGTATTCCTTTGACCTGTGAAGGAGAATAATAGACGGTGTTAAGTGGTGGCAACCTGAGGACCTGTACACCGTCACTTTAAACAACACACCGTCACTTTACACAACACACCGTCACTTTACACAACACCACCAATTAGTAATGATGAGTTTAAAGGTCAGTGCATCTCCACCCTGACCTTTCCTTGAGTAGAGAACATCTATGATTAATAAAAACAATACGACTGCACTGTACACTACCATTACTCGAACGTGTGTCAACCAGATGGTGAGCGAGGCACAAGCAGCGGTGTCATGAATGGATGTAATTGATGGTGATTTTTTTTTTCGATTTTTAAACTTTATGCTATTTTCTTTGGAGTTTATTTGTGTACTTATCATGAATTTACTGCAGTCGATCGCTATTTTCATTTAAGTGTTTCAATTGTCAAGGTCTCAGTTTCGGGTGCTTCAACTACAAAGGCTTCATTCTCAAGTGCTTCAACTACAAAGGCTTCATTCTCAAGTGCTTCAACTACAAAGGCTTCACTCGGCTACAGTATCTACAACAACAAAGCCTTTTCAGAAATTTAGACACACGTTTGGTCCTGATAAAGGCATAGTATAGTCCAGTGTAATCAATATGTTACCAAACTTTGAACTAATTTCCTGCAGCTTTGCTTTTAACATTAGCACGGACGCTCATCAACGTAACATACGAGATACTTAACAAGTAATATAACCTAATTATGCATCTCTGATTGAATTACATTCTCCCCAATTTGCCAGCTCATAATTTTTGTACTCATACCAAAATTAATTTCAGAGAGAGAATAATGTTATGATTTAAATATTACAGGCGTCGAGTTTATTAAATGATGATATTATTATGATTATTATTATTATTATTATTATACTACTCATTAATAAGGTTTATAATGTCAAAGGGCCTGGCTTACCTCACCCGGCTCACAGAGGACAAATTTATACAATTATTATATATTAAGTAATTGAAAAAGATAGCCCAGTTTTTAATATATGGCCGTTTAATACAGTATATAGTAAGTTACTATATAGCCCCTTGATATATAACCATTTAATATATAATCCTATAAAATCAATAACATTATACATAAAGTGTGCGGGAGGCGAGTGGATATAACACACTCACTCTACTTGAAGGAACACCCACTCGTTCAAACACACAGGGCGCCCCCAGTCGATCCACCTGTCAACGGGTACCTAACATTACAGCTGGAGAAGTGAATGCGGTCGATTATAGTGTCGGCCACAGAATACTATATCCACACTGCCCTTATGAGACTCTCATAGTCATACGTATATACAAATAGGCAAAAATATATAGGATGATACGTGACCACAATATGGAAAGGCTTTGACATATTGCTATAATGTGACATCAACTCGGACACTTACATTGATGGTATATGTCTATTATTGTCTAAATGAACTTCCAAAACTAATAAACAGTTTGTGACATGTTATTAGTCAGCATTAGAGTCACTTACTGAGTTCAGTTACCACTGAGTTTTAGTCTAGTTATTAGAGCCATGTTAGAACAGGTTGATAGGGGTGGGACCTGAGTGATGATGATGATGATGATGATGATGATGATGATGGTAATGATGATGATGATGATGATGATGATGATGATGATGATGATGGTAATGATGATGATGATGATGATGTTGATGATGATGATGATGATGATGATGATGATGATAATGATGTTGGTGGTAATGATGATGATGATGATGATGATGATGGTAATTATGATGATGATGGTGATGTTGATGGTACGATGATGATGATGATGTTGATGGTAA